CTATGTTTTTCTCTATAATTTACTCATATTAATCATACAACGGTTTACAATGAGATTAATAAGTTATGCATACGATTTTTTTTGTTCATCATATGCATGTCTGAAACTTATATAATAAGTTGCATGTAATTCTGATATCATCCATGGATGAAATAAATAAAAAAATATATTTGCGAATTGATGATTCAATTTAGATAATATGAGAGACTCTTTGGTATTTGGAATACAAGAAAAATTATTTTTCTTTATAATTATGAATTTATTTTTATTAGTAAAGCTGAAAAAAAAATGTATTGCTAATATCAATCCATAAATGCATCAATGTTGCTCACGAAGTAGAAATAATATACTATGTATTTTATAGCATGTCACACTTGGTCCAGTAGTAGCCTTATTGTGAAATATTTAATAAAATCAAGTAATTTTGGACAAAGTTATAGATGTCAAATCTATAACAACAATATGATAATTATATGTAGAATACAATTCTTCACCTGAAATGAAAGAATTAATAATGAAAAAGAGTTAGAAGTCATGTCCAATTTAGACTTTTCATGTCTTAAATTGAAATTAATTGAGAAACTCTTGAAAATTAATAATAGTGTTTATTCGAATAAATACAGTATCAACCACCTGAAGTGAAAAAAATAATGAAAATGCTACAAACGACTTGAAGTCGAAAAGTGGCGAGGAAACAAAAGAAATACAGTGTATATATCTTATTGATCTATTTAAAAAATTTATAAAAAAGAAATAGAAGATTGAAAAGAGATGGATTCATTACTCATGTTGACTACGAATTGACAAATCTTAATTTGATATATGTTATTGAATTCTTTTTCAATCACCCTAAAGGTGAAATGAAATTTGATTTAGATATGAAAATGTCCAATGAGTCAAATGCCCTGAAGGTGTTGTTCACCATAGAATGATACTATTTGATTTGACATTTTCTCTCTAATTCTTATGAAGAAACATGTTCGAAATTGTTAATGGCAAAGAAATAAGGTTGGCACATGTATAGTGCAACAAATGACATTAGCAATGAGTATGTGAGAAGCAGTTTCAATAATATTAATGTTTCTTTTGATTTTATTCAAAAAGAAATGTTTTTATGCATTATTAGAAAGAAATCAATAAAATGCTCCAACAGAGCATACGCCATTGAATTGCTTTGTAAAGTTAAATAAAAACTTCCATAGAGCATAATTATTTCGGAGAGTAAAAGTAAATAAATGCTCTTGAAGAGCAAATACATCAAATTAATCGTCGCCTCTGGAAGAGCAACGATAGACTTTGCTCTTAAAAGAGCAACTAGATTATGTTAAGAGTTAAAGTGAAAGTGCACTAAAATTCATTAATCTCCCAACGTTTCGAAGACTTTGTTTCTCTATTTTCTATTTTACGGGAATCACAAATTATGATACTTACAAAAGGTAAACCATAAGTTTACTAGACAATATTATTGATTTTGCTATTGGCATGATCGATGGTGCTAATTCAATCTTAATATGATACATAAGATATTAAACGATCATATGCTTATAATTGATAGAACTAGAAGTTTCTTTAATACATTGAATTATATTATACTTTTTTGTTTGTGGTAAAACGATTACAACACTAATAGCACGAACAAAAATTCGTAAAATATCTCCGGCACATATGATTTATACTCCCTTCGTCCCGGAATTATTGTCCAGTTTGATTTCAACTTTTAGTACAAATTGAACAAAAAGTGAATCTAAACTAGACAATTTTTGGGATAGAGGGACTACATGGCAACATATGCCTATTCACCCACATTACAAACCATTTGATATATTGTAACAACAACCAAAAACTTGTGGAAACTACTTAATAACATACTTTCATACTCGCTCCAATTAAAAAATGCATATCCAAAATATTTTAATGAATGTTTTATGGGAAGAAAGTTGAGCATCAAATGTTTAACGTGCACAAGCAAAACAATCCAATTGATCGTTAATTTAATATGTTCAATTGATTGAAATCATTACTTATGGAAAGTAAATATCTTGTATACAATTGAGGGTGTATTGGAACACAAAAGGCATAAATTATATATATAAGACCAAATGTCTTATTATAAATATTCTCCCAATGATTGGGTTTTTGGCAGAGACCGTACATATCTATCTTTAAATATTAGATGTGTCATTTACATTGTAATTGTTCCACCACAATGCATACAAATACTAGGAAAATATGTTGAATATTGAATCTTTAATGTGTGAAAATATTAATGTTGGCTTTTACCACTCGATAGACAGGTCATATTAGTTTGATGAGTTAGTTACTATGAAAGTGAGATCTATTAACTGTTCAATTGATTAATTTTCATTTTGGCGAGTTAGTTGTCCCAACATCAGGGGAAAAAGTTGAAACAGCCAATTCATAAATCAGATGGACAATATTATTATCTCATCATGATTCTCGATGACATGAACCTTTTGTTTAAGAGATAAAATTTAAAACATATTTACTTCACCATAAAGTGCAATTATTACATGCAAAAGGTTGTTAACGCTCAAATTTTGAAACTACGTTCCTGCAGAACCATCTACCACTATTGCTTAATTAAATGTCCATTTGATGAGTTGTAGAACCATCAGTTCCAATAATAATAATACTCGTAAATGACCATGTTTAAATCTATAGAAATGACAAATACCAGTCATAGAGTCCAGAAGTATTTTTTTGAAATTGAATATTTTCCCACTATGGTGAATAAATTTCCAGAAGAATATATGCATTTGGAAAATTTAATAAACTTGAGATCTCATTATTTAAAAAAGATGAAATCGGTCGGCAATAAATCAGTCACTTAAAATTTGCTAATACTGCAGTAGTTCGTAAAATGAATGAAAATGAGGATCGTGAAATAAAAGTCTATTGTGAGTCAAGAAATTAAACCTATTGGCCATACTGAATGAAAAGGCTGAACACACATACATAAAGTTGTGTAAGCGGACTTGAAATTGATAGAGAAACTCGAAGTTGTTGGGTGATTGTACATATTATTATCGAGCAACCTACTTATTACACAAGTTATTCCCCTTCTTAATCAAAATTCCTCCGTATCTCTCAGCCATTACTAGCTCATCTTGCTATCATATATTCCTTTAGTCTTACATTTCTTCCTCTACATTTTTAAGAAATCTTGCTATCGCAGACACACTGTCGGCAGTAGCCACCCTCTCTTTAATTACGAGACTACAAGTTTGCCCGACAACCCGTCAAGTAAATACAAAATTGCAAAAACCAATCTTTGAATAAGGAGATTCTAACATACATGAGACTGCAAGATCTTCACTTTTTTCAATAATGGAAGAACTCGAGGAACTTACTAGATAGGCAGATATGTCATTGTGAGGGGATATTAAATGATAAAGAGAGGGATCTCATACCAAGAACCATTTGAGTGACAAGGGAAATGTGCATGTCATATCTCATATTCCACTGAAATTGCATTAAGAGAGGAATTTATGAGCTGCCTTGGTGCTGGGTTGAATTTCAAAATTTTCCCTTTTGGACAAACTAGATGTTAAACCCGTGTGTTGCACGAGAAAGCATTTAATGGGGTATGTTACCCAAAAATGAATTGAACGTGATTTCTTATTTTGTTATAATAAGCAATTAAACATTATAAATATCATGTATGTTGACAACATAAAGCTATTAAAAACTTGTTTAATGGCGTTGAAGATTAATTTTTTAGAGAATTCATCATGAAGGAAAAGTTTGGATTAATCATATTTACATTGTTTTGAGAGGGACAGAAAAATATTTAGTTAGATTTTTTTTATTATTTTTTCTACCTAAACAATTGGAGTTGCAAAAGTGAATATATTTATTGACTTTTGAATAGTAAATAATTAATACATGGTTATGAATCAATGTTTTTTTAAAAAAAATTGTAATATCTCTAATTGCTTTTTTCCCATTTCCATCCTTCAATTTTCATTTCAATGATCTTTTAATCAATCAGTAAGTTTTTTGAAGTTTGATTCATCTGATCCTTAAAGCTGATTCCGTGTAACTATTTTCATAGTAATTGTTTCTATTTAAGTTTAATTTTGAGGATCTAAGGACAATTGAACAAAATTTTTATGTGAGAATGAATGAAAAGAATTACACATAAGATTTTGTCCTATGTGTCACTTTAGAAATCATTTTAATTTTCTCTCTCTGGTTTCTCCTTTATAATAAACTACAAATAGATACATAGATTCTCCATAAAAGACAAAAAAGAAAAAGAAAACATAGAGTAGAATGTTATTCGTTAACTTAGTAATGATATTCGTTGAATGTAGTAGAAATGCCTCTTTTTATTTTCCCTTTACTTCCTTCTATCTAGGATTTACGAATCAACTTTAACTCCTCAGCAATTAACCAACTAAGCGGTAGGCTAAGCTTCAATGTAGTTAAATAGTTTTATACTCCCTCATAAATTATAACAGACTACTTTTATGGGACGATGAATAAGAACAATCCGACAATACTATATGTATTATTACTTCTGGCAGTTCATAACTTTTTGACCTTTGTAGGTGCTTGTCATTTTTTTAATGAACCGGCAGTCCCATATTTTGCTGCAACCGAAAAAGATTACACCAGGCAGAGTATAGTCTACTCTAGTCTAGTCCCATATGTAATACACTCACTGTCCAAGAGTACTATGTCGAATAGTAACGATTCAAGGCCAGTTATGCATGTGTTGTGAGACAAAGCCTATTTTGCACAATGCCGTTAGATTCGAAGAGAAAAAATGTGGAAAAGATTTGTTTATAAATTTGAAGAACATTAAGGGAAAGAGACGTAGAGCATTTGGGCAATTAGCAAGAGCCATTCAACTCAATTAACCTATGCTTGAAATTAGATGATGAGAACATTGTCAAGAAGAAATTCATCAAAAGATTTTTGACTTTCCTTCACTACTACTGCAAGATTTCTTACTGTGTTCTTGACGCCTTAAATTATGAAGTTATTTCAAGGAATGGATAATCGGTGTAACCAACAACAGGATCCACTGTATAGAAAGTTTCCCTGTGATACTTTTTGAGAGGGGCATTCAACTCAAACCTCTTAGGCAAATCTGGATTCGCTAAGAACAAACGCCCGTATGCAACAAGATCAACGCGATTTTCAGACACAACGATGTTACCTTCATCCCTATCATACCCTCCTGCAGCAATAAAAGCACCTTTGAATGCTTTCCTCATTGGAAAAAGGCTATCATCACATTGAAACTTTTCACCAAGAAGTTTCATCCTCGGTTCAATCATGTGACAATAAGCGATTCCAAACTTATTTAAGGCTTCAACCATATAGAGACCTAAAGCCAGCGGATTAGAATCTGCTGAATTACAATAATCAGCAAAAGGGGAGAGCCTGATTCCAACTCTATCAGCTCCAATTGCATTACAAACTGCATCAACGATTTCGAGTGCAAATCTACAACGGTTCTCCAAAGAGCCTCCTCATCGGTACGATCATTAACTTGATCTTTCAAGAACTGGTCAATTAGATAACCATGAGCACCATGAATCTCGACTCCATCAAAACCTACAAAATAAAAATATTGTTGTTTTGCTCATAAATATTCCGACTGCGAAATACAAGCATGAAGTTGAAATTAAGCTAAACCAAATATTATCAAACTTACCTGCTTCAATTGCATTAATAGCAGAGAGTCTGAAGTCATTAACAATCTGAGGAATTTCTTCAGTGTTTATTCGACGCGGTGGTGGAAATTTTGAAAAATCAGTAGCAAAAACAGGTTTATCTGTAGATGATACTGGAGCTTGTCCATTAGGTTGAAACACTGCACAAGACATGGATACCATGAACATATTAGATAAGAGTATACATCAAAAACAAAGAATTTTCATACTTATTGTGAAAGCATATATGGAAACTGATTATATTGCAAATCCACAACGTTGAATAATACAAGAACGGGATCAGAGAAATAGTAAACATATACCATTGTTTGAAACTCTTCCCACATGCCGCATTTGACAAAAGAAGATACCACCTTTGCCATGGACTGCTTTCACAATTGGCTTCCATGCCTCGACTTGTTCTTTTGTCCATATTCCAGGTGTTCTGGGAAACCTATATGACCAGATAATTAACACAGTGTAAATCTCAGCAAAATGACCAAAAAACTAACGAATGACATTACCAGGAAGTTAATAAACATGCAAAAATTTGAACGGTTTTTGTAAAATAGAGTTATATACCCTTGAGATGTGTCCGAAACTCCATTAGCTTCTGTAATAAGAAGGCCACCTTTTGTTGTTCTCTGGGAGTAATACAGAATGGAATGTGGTTGGGGTACATTTCCAGGGGACCTCGTCCTTGTTAGAGGTGCCAAAACAATTCTGTTTGAAATTTGTTAAGAGGATAACACCAAATTACATTAATAAATCTTCAAATGTTAATCAAAAGTAATTAATACCCATGCATATGTTATTGAATAATTTACACAAACTTGATAGGATTCTGGAAAACAACCAAGAAACAAAAATAAATAAAATGATGTCTCACTTTTATTAATAAGGAAAATAGATTTCTTCGATGAAATTAAAGACACTTATTTAACCACGCAATTATAACAAACACCTACCTAACACTTCACCGGCCTGATGCAATGATGTAACTCATCGCATAGAATAGATAACTTCAAGTGGGAGGGAGTTACACGATGATAAGAGAAGCATGGTTTAAAGGGGTGGACAAATCTATTTGTTGAAAAAAAAATGCAAAAGTAAAGTTGATGAGAACAAATTTGTGATCAATTAATTAATAATGAAACTGAAGGACAACTGTCTTCACACATCTTTCTCACAAATTGCTAAAATAGTCTTTTGAATCTAATACGTACCCTGATTCTTTGGCATTAAAATATGCTTCAATTTACCGAGCTATATAATAATTTTTAAAAGTATCAATGGGAAAAATGGTACAAATTACAACATTTGGCAGATAAAGCCATTAAATATAAGAAATCAAAGCAGAGCTTTAGAAGTCTCATCCTACTTCTACAATTTCAAAGAATAGAATCAAAAGTCAATACCAAACAAATGGGTTGGAAACTTAGTATACCTGTGAGATAAATTGAACCTTCCCGTTTGATATGGAGTTAACAATGGAATTGGTTGCTCCTCTTGCTTTTACTTCTTCTCTTCTGCAATTTCCGCCATTGACTTGTGCCACACTATAGCTCTCCTTCCCTTCTGTATTTTGTGAAGATAATTGAGAGTAAAAAATTATTATCTAATGGTTTACTTATAGGAACACAGCCGAGGGGGAAAAATGTTCCTTTGTTTGAACAAAAAAGTAAGCAAATAAATGCAATTATTTAACTATAAAATCCCATTCATTAATTACGGACCATAAAAAACTAATTATGGACAGCATATTACTCAAATGATTATAATTTAATTATTTCTGAGATTCATTAATCTAGACTGGCTATCTTGGAAATTTTGCCATCAGAACATAATTACAAAATTCTATGATCCAATCATGAGTTTATAACCAAATTCACACAGCTACACCTAATAATTAACCAAATTACATTAATATTTTTAAATATGCAGTGCTGATGACAATGTTACCACTTTTCCTATTTTTGTCACTACTGACTTATTTAATTATTTTCTTCACAAAATTCATTATACAGTATTTGTTGTTAATACAGTAGTTCGTTTTCAAAAAACTCGATCAAATAAAAGTTTTTCCCCTTAAATTGAACATTTACAACGCAAAAAAATCATTCAACATTTTGTTGATACTAGACAAAATTGTATCCTCAAGTGGATCACATTCAAACAACTTAAGAGATATCGCCAATTTATATGTCTAAATTTTTGTACGTTACAATTACATAAATTGAATAATTCGCCCTTAAAGTTGCTTGATTGAAGAAGTATTTCTTTTTTAAAAAAAATAATAAGAGAGAACATATATTAAGGGAATATCTAATCTATTGTATATGAATATCCTTTCTCCATGCCTCCTCCCCTATTTTTTCCCGGGTTCAACCCATCAAATCACCGGGCACCCCACAGAACCTCTCCATCTCCATGTACAGCAACACGCCGCCTTACAACCTCGATGATTTCACCTTCCAACGCATCAAAGAATCCATTGTTGCCCGTGAAATGACCCGGAGATACATGATCACCTACGCCGACACCGACGTCGTCATCGTTGGAGCCGGATCCGTCGGACTCTCCTGCGCCTAGGAAATCAGAAGAACTCCAACATCCGGGTCGCCATCATCAAACAATTCGTCAGCCCCCGGTGGCGGCGCGTAGCTCGGAGGACAGCTTTTCTCCGCCATGGTTGTACGGAAACCGGCCCACAAACTCTTGGACGAGTTGGAAATCGAGTACGACGAGGCGGATAACTACGCGGTGATCAAACTCCTTGCCAGGCCGAATGTGAAATTGTTCAATGTTGAGGCGGCTGAGGATTTGGTCATAAATGGGGACAGGGTTGCCGGAGTTGTGACCATTGGGCTCTGGTTTCAATGAATCACGACACAGTCCTTGATGGACCCCAATGTGATGGAGGCTAAAGTGGTTGCCAGTTCTTGTGGTCATGATGGGCCTTTTGGAGCTACCGGCGTCAAGATATTGAAGAGCATCGGAATGATTGACAGCGTTCCTGGGTTGAAGGCCCTTGATATGAACACCGCCGAGGACATCATTGTTAGGCTGATAAATTGTGCCTGGAATGATCGTTACTGGCATGGAAGTTGCAGAAATTGATGGTTCTCCAAGAATGGTAAGTCAATCTATATCCATTTCTAGTTTGATTGATTACTCTTCGATTTCAATTTTACAATTTGGGAAGTTTGATTTGCTTGCATACAGCTCACTTTACTGAGATTTCACAGTATGTTCACTGTAATAAGTTGTTTTCCTCTTATTTGGATTTGAGGCATAGATTTCTCTGTAATGACTTGGGAAGACTCCCCTGTTTTGCCATTAAAAGTATTTTCGAGACTTCTTCGTACTATTGCATTTCTCTTGAAGTTGTGGGATTTAGATAAAAATTCTGATACTACCAGGATCGCCAACTTTTTTTTTGTTAATTTCTTTTGATATTTAAATGTAAATTTTATAATTTGTGAGGAAAAAAAGAAAACAAAGAGATTGTCAAATAATTATCTATAATAAAAAGCTAGCCACGCTTGGCCAAATAATTTCTTGCAATTTGATTGATCGGGCGATCGTCACGTGGCATCATCCTTGCATCACAGTCTCCTTATATTTTTAATTAGGATCAAAATAGTCATTCAAAAAATCGTGAACAATTAAAAATGTGAAATTTTGCCAACAACTCCCCTTCCCAAAAATGACGTCGTTTGGAAAGGGGTCACCTGCAAAAAATAAAAATTCCCCGAAACCCCCTAATTTTAAATGAAAAGCCTACTTTACCCCATAACCCCCCTTCTCAAAGAATTTTTTCCTTAAATATATGTAAAAAAAAAAACCTAGACAAAAATTAAACTTTTTAAAACCTTGTGGACAAATTTATATGCCCCGGATTTAGGAAATCCGAATGGGGGGAAAACTCGGATTTCGGAAATCCGACCCCAACTAAACTCAGATTATTAAAATCCGACTTTGTATTACGTAAATCTGAAATTAAGTTAATGACAAAAATTAGTGTAATTAATCTAAATCCGGATTTTATAAATCCGATTTTATGAATAAAATATTAATTTCGGATACTATAAAAAAATGTGTTGAAAAATTAAATTGGGCGAAACTCGGATTACGAAATCCGAATCGCTCTTTTTTTCGAAAATGGTGACTCCCGGTTGGCCACGGACTCGGATTTCCAAATCCGAATCCTTTAGAAAAGTCCAGGTTCGGATTTCGCAAATCCGAGTCTTTGTCGAACGAAAAAAATTGGACTGATTTTCACCAGTCCTAAACATGTTTACTGAGACCAACAACAATGAAACATTGGAAAATAGGAATTTAATAACAACAAAACAATAAACGGCATTCAATTAACAACAAAATAAATCAAGTTTCATAAAAAGTTCAATACAAAAACTACAATAAATGTCCAAAATAATGAAATGTCTCATTTTTTCCCTTTTCCTTTATTATGCGCATCCAGTGTATTTGTTTGGGCCCTGTCGGATCCTGTCTCCCTCTTAAGATATGTGAGTATTGAACTTTGGTGTGGTTGCGATGTCCACCAAACCGAGCCTCGATTTGGGGTTGAGATTGGGACTCCCCATGGTGATAAATTTGACTCCGGTTGTGGTTGCGATCGTCCACCAAACCGAGTCTCAGTCCACCAATGTCAAACTGAGTCTCGGGTCCACCAATGTCAAACTGAGTCTCGGGTCCACCAGCTTCTTCAAAATGAGTCTCGACCTGGATGCGCGAGCCTCGAGAGGAATGTGCTTGATCCTCATTTTGTTGACCCTCAGTTTGTTGTTGCGATGTCCGAGGGGGGATTGTGACCTTTCTCTTTCTTCCTCCTCCAATCTTATCTCTTGACCACGGTTTCGCTTTTTTACCCGGCGGAGGTTGTGAGGGAAAAAATGGATCTTCATCAACCAGGATTTGGGTATCATCCACCTCCATCTCATCATTTGCGCCCAAGGTTAAAGCAACATGTGTTTGATTGATGATATCGTCCAAATGCTTGTCAAGTTCTTCGTCTAGGAGATTATCATCTTCTCGTTTTTCTCTAAACCTCTCGGTACTCACGCGAATGTTGTTCAATACTTCACCCTGAAAAGAAATTGGGACGTTAATTAAGAGAGTAAAGTTCTAAAAAAAAATGAAAAAAAAATGGAAACATAAGAAATAATAAAAGAAATCTACAATTAACTCACATATAATTTCACGCGGCTCGAAGAAGTCTCGTATCCTTGAGGTTCATAATTACCGGGATTGGATATCAATCTGACAGTGTTCACCATAAACCATTCATAGTACCCCTCATATACGGAACCAGGATCTCCTTCCTCCAAATCTCGTAGCACGAACTCTTCTCTCCTATTCCAATGACGGCGTACTGCGGAATGGTGATCCTCCCAATTATTGTTAGGATACCCAGACATACTGTGGGCGTGATCGAGAAGAAATGCTGCGTTATCTTTAATCATGGGGCGCTTGGGAACATCCTGTATGTATCCAAATTGTCTTACGACCCTGCCCGACTCGTGGGGTTCCCTAATAGCCCAACAGAACATCCAACACCTAGTCGTCCAAATGGCTTGGCCTTGTGTACAGAAATCAGGGAGTCTATGGAGGACATGTGCATATGGTTGCCACCGAAACTGCACGAAAAAAATTTCATTAGATGGTACAACCGAAACCAAAAGAAAGGGGTAATTGATCTCAAAGTAAATATAAATACCAAATTACAAGTACTTACATCTTCAACACACAGACTTGTTAATTGATCTCTAAACGGTGGAGTGCTGCTCCTTGGGGCGTCGCCGTACGTGTACCTACATTCCCACCTTAATAAACAAAGGGGTACATTTGAATTAGTCAAATAAATGAATAAGAAAACCAACCCCCATTGAAAAGAAATTTGGCGACGTAGTCTTCTGCTCCACCAAAAATCAGATCGCGTACGGTGTCTTCCTCCTCAAAAAACTCCACTTCTCTTCAATTTCTTTGTCAATTAATCCGAAAATCTCCATTCACAATTAAGTCGCACGGCATGGATTCATCGAAGCCTGTTAAGCCATCGATAAAACTTCTTCCTTCTATGAAATACTGTTTCAACGAATCTCACTTGGGACTTAGCATGAACCCTAAGCCTCAGGTCCTCGGCCGCCCTCCAAAATTCTCTTCATCGTTCTGCTCCCTCTGTTGCAACCCCTAGCCGCCGCCATTGACTGCAGTAGTGAAAGGTTGAGGTGGCGATGCACAGTGGTAGGATTAGTGGTGGTCTCTGTTATTTCACCGTGAATTTTCAGGTAATTTCTTGTTCTTTTAAATTAATAGTAATCAGAAGCCTCAGGTCCTCGGCCGCCCTCCAAAATTCTCTTCATCGTTCTGCTCCCTCTGTTGCAACCCCTAGCCGCCGCCATTGACTGCAGTAGTGAAAGGTTGAGGTGGAGATGCACAGTGGTAGGATTAGTGGTGGTCTCTGTTATTTCACCGTGAATTTTCAGGTAATTTCTTGTTCTTTTAAATTAATAGTAATCAGATTTGGGGTTATATCTTTTCTACTGTAGTTAGTAATCAAAATTTTTTTCCCAGGGAGAATGAACTACCCAATCTAATCACTCTTGCGGGTGAACAATTCATCATCCTATATGGATTGAAAACAGAGAGGAGAAGCAGATTGGAGTTGATCGACTAGAATCGGGGTCTGACAGCGAACAGGAGAGGAAAGAAATCGCTTCTATTGTTAGCCCCTGGCTCGGTTTTATCACATAACTAAGGTAGGAGAACTGATCTGTTTAAACCTGATTTATGAGTGCATTTATTTGTTTGGTCTTTTTTTTTTGGTTTTACATTAAAAATAGACGGGATTGATCATTGAAAGCAACCGCAATGCACAAGTGTTTAAGGTTTTGGTTTTTCGAAAAATAAATTTTATTTGTCCAGATTAAAGTAAGTGGAGATGGTAAACCCATTGTTTGAGAGAAGGATAAAGCAATTTAGATGCTTTAGCTTTTAACAACTCCAACGAGAAGATACTCTATGCTCGGTTAACTCTCCTATTCTGCTGCTGAAGTTTGCTAGATTCAATATGCTAATTTGTTGGGAAAATTTGTATTACGTGATCCATTCTACAAATTAATTGTTGAGAAATATCATTAGAAATATAATTGCAATTTCGTGGTTCAATTGTGGTTCTCTTTGGAGAGCATAAAGATCCAAATTTTATCGATATTGTCGGATGCACCATAACCTCCAAGCAGAGTTGCCCATGGTTTGTTGTTGGAGCTTTAGTCGCCCTCCTTACATTGGGCAGTCACTAACAGTTTCATAGTATCTCTTGTATCCATTTACGAAACTATAGCTCCCAAATCGTCCCATGAGACAGTTGCAGGAACTAATATTATGATCCTTTTCGATAGTTGGGGAACTAAATTTTTTGCAGTTGCCGGTCTGTTTCTCTTTTCTTCAGCGATTTATTTGATCTTCCCACTAACATTGTGCCAGTAAGACGGGCTTCTTATGCATTTTGATAGGTATGAATACTCAGGTGAAGGGATTAGATCGCATAATCAGAAGCTTCAAATCATTATAATAATCTTTCTTTGTAATCAATCTGATGGGATCTTAGATGCATCGCTACAATCAGCTCCAAAGTATTATGAAGGACTGAGGGGGTGCTTATGGGGAAGAATAGCATGATGAAGAGTTTAATTAGATTCCACAAATAGAAGAGTAACAATCAATCCGTACTTAATTTGATCACCTTGCTATTGTAAATTTATGTTTAAAACTATTTCTCAGAAGTTCTACTTCAAAATTGAGGAAAGCAAGGTGTTTGTGATTAAATTATGCTTTTAATTACATTTTTATTTTTTCTAATCTTTAGAGCCATGTTGGATTTATCTTTACAATGTCTCGGTTATAGTGCTGACAACTTTGTTGCTGTGATTTTTTATAGATAATGGTAAGGTTTTTATTTAGGAAATTGCATTCGTTCCGATAAGCGAAGATTTTATATATGTTTGTAATGAAATAATTTGATAAACTTACGTGACAATTCTTTACAATTCTTTGTTCTTGTTTAGGATTCTCATAGCAAAACCCTGGCTTTGTGTGCACGAAATGATTCAAATATCGCTGGCTCGCTCTGGAATGTTAGCAGGCTAGAGAAAGCATTTTCTGCTGCGACTGAGAAGTTCATCTTTATGCAAAAGTTTCATGAGTTTGATTTTGTTATATGTGCCTTTTTGTAGATACGAGTTATCTGTACTTCACATCAATTAAATTTTGCTTCCCTCCATATTTGTAATCTCAACATGTTAAAATAACTCTTTTGATTTTAAACGTTTTTAGCACCATGATTGAACATTGAATTACCAAGGGAATCGACTGTCTTTGTCTTGTAATTTTTTAACTGGTAAAGTTTCAAGTCTTTTTGAAGTTCAGAACCCTTGTTAATGAGTATCTTCGTGTCTTGGTTAATGTTAGAATCTTTTCTTTGCACTAAATAATTGGATTTTTACAATGGAATAACTGATCGCTTGAGCAAAAATTTAAATTTTGCCATGGTCTTCTATCTCGTGTTTGACTTTGATTATGAATTGGTTTTGGGTTGTTCTCTTAAACTTACTTTTTGTATTAAAAGAAGAAAATAAACTTTAAATGCTAAACTTTAAACTTACACTGGGTTTGAATATAACATTGGTTTGTCATTTAGGACCCATGAATGCTCTTCACGCTTGAACTTTTGGTTATTGTTCTTACACGTTGGAAAGTGATTGGCAAAAGCATTCACAATGGCGCATTTGGTTTCTCATTTGCAGCACAAGTGTCCTTATATTGAAGAATTTGAGGATTGAATAAAGGATCTTCATGAATAAGGAGCAGCCACAATTATAGAAAGAAGAAGTGCTGAGAATACTGATGAAATGAGAGAACTAGAAGCGGCTGTGGCTACAGCAAAGGCAGTTTTAAGTAATGTGGAAGCAATGCAGCATTGGTTGAAGCCGTCACAAAATCTGCACAGGCTGCTTTTGCTTCTGCAAAGGAACTAAAAGATTTACCTCAGGAGCTAAATGAACTTGGTAGAGATATGAATATGCAGAAGTGAATAGATATGATGCGAAGGGCTAATAGTAGACAAAGCAGGAAAGACAAGTCTGATTTGAAGAGACTGACAATGGAAATTGACAAACATAACCACCCGATAGAAGGAGAATCAAGCACTAATGGAAGTGACATTGAGACTGCAGCATATCAGCCGTGTCGTGCTGAGTGGATTCGGGTTTCTGAACAAATTTTCAGTGATGCTGTAAATGATTATCCTCAACTTTGTGCTTAGAAAGGTTAGGGAGATGGAAGAAGGATAATGCATCAAAGTTACCAGGATGCTTACATGTCATTAAGTACCCCCTTATATTTTTCTACTTCATGAAGATTCAGATTTTATTGATATGAAATGGTACGATACTCGATCTTTAGAAAAGTGCCGAAGTTAATTATATTACTCTATATCTCTGGAGAGGAAGATATATTGGAGTTTGGCACATATATTATGTGTATTGATAGTTTATTTTTCATCCAATGAAAATACGGGCGCTTGGGAAATTTTCCTCAAGATACGTGAAATAAAAATGATTCCAAATTTTTCACCAGAAATGTGGAATAAAAATGATGCCAACTACGAACCGCATACTACACGAACTACACCTAGAAAATATTAGGACTCTCACAAGGTTTCGAAAATTGCGAGTATTATTACGAGTATTTTGTACGGTATTGATGTTGTTCGGAATATTATGACTTTTACCGGGATAAATTACGAACTCTTTTCAGGCGTCAACTAAAAAATATTACTATGACTGTTCTAGAATATAGGTCACTTTCGAATCCACTCCCTACCTATTATTGTAATTGCTTATTATTAGTTTTAATAATAAATCAGGCTTATTACTCTAGGCTTATTTATTCGCTTGTTATTCAGGCTTATTATCTCTTTTTTTTCCCAAGACCGTACCACCTTCATTTTCTTACACTACTCGAATTGTTATAATTTACTAACTAGATGCTTGGCCCAGGAACATGCCCGGGCGGCCCCTTCTGTTATAAGTAATTTTTTTGTAAATGGAAAGCGAAATTCTAATCTAAGTGAAATACTATGTGGTTATATATGTATATATATACATATATATATATTTTATTATAATGTTTAATGATAGAAGATTTAATGTTAGATAAGGTTGGAAAAATATTTATTTGAAATTATCATCTAAATTTTAGGATCTTTTAATTGATTATATAAAAAACGATCTTCTAAACTAATCAAAATAATATAGGAATCAAATTGTGAGAAATCAAAAATAAAGATCATAATAACAATAAATTTCATTAAAACTTTTGTTTTTTTTTGTTCGCCTGGAGACATGGGAGCAAAATTTTTAATTTGAAACCTTTTGATATAAATTTGAAGTAAAATTTTGGTCGGAGTTATTTATGAGATTTGAAGGGGAATTGAAGCAATGGTTGAATATGTCGATTTCTTGGATGTCTTCTGTGGAAATAGGAGTACTGAATAGTTTGGAAGGAATTTGATTATGGGCTTTGAATTTTAATTTTCACTACTTGTAGGAATTTAATGTGATCCGGAAGTGTGTTTTAGAAGTTTTTTTTTATTCAGAAATAAGTTTATTTTTTATTTTTTGTTTTAGAAAGAAAATGACACATGGCAAAATAGTTTATGTAATATGGTGCATTTAGAGCCAAAAATTTTTAATAAGAAGTTGACACATCAACATCTTATATCCTGCTTTAATAGGATAACTAATTTGTAGGAATTTAATGTGATCCGAAAGTGTATTTTAGAAGTTTTTTTTTTAATCCAGAAATAAGTTTATTTTTATTTTTTGTTTTAGAAAGAGAATGACACATAGCAAAATAGTTTGTGTAATATGGTGCATTTGGAACCAAAAATTTTTAATAATAAATTGCCACATCAGCATCCTGTATTCTGCTTTAATAGAGTAAAAGGGATATCACAATATATAGTTAGTTGCATAATCATTGAAAATCCGCATGGCAGAAATTCCGTTGGGGAAGAAAAGAAGGTTCCCGCATGATGAATTCTCGGAGAGGCGAGCGATAAAGTAAAGAATGGATTCAATTTTTATGGTTTTTTTTTTATTTGTCATTGTAAAGTTACAGAATAGAATGAATTGGCATAAGAATGAAACAAAACAAATAATAATAATAAAAAAAACAAGTATTGGAACAAGATGAACAAGACATTTTTGGAGGAGTGCATCTTGGGCTACAAAACACGGAATTGAATGTTCTTTACACAGCTTTGAAGCTAGAATTGAGTGCCATGACTTTCATTAAGAAAGCAACATTAAATTCTAATATTCTATTGAAGTAAAATGCACTTGAAATTATAGCGTCCGATGTCCCCGGAGTTAAGCAAAAGTGAACCAGCCAATTTCCCGGGACTATAACTTGATATTCATAGCTCTAAATGAAGAGTTCTTGATATTGCTGCAAAGTCTAAAATGTGAAATACAACTTTTAGGAAGATGAGTTCTCCATATTTAGATCAGAAATGGTAAAAAATACATCTAAATTTCTGTTGTCATTACTGTCTAAAAAAACTGCAGCAACTTCAGCAAATAGCAACCAATTTACAGGGATCATAACTTGAGATCCCTAACTCTATTTTGAAAGTTCTTGATATCGTTGCAAAGCTGGAAGATCAAAAAGCTATAAGTTTTCTGTTGAAACCAAGAGCATATTCGAACCAGAAGATGGTCAAAATTGAAAAGGAAATTACTGCACCAGAACTAGCTTTCGTATTAATCATAGGCCAGAAATTGTTCTTCATCAATTTTGAGGTTGATTGTTTCAGGCGCAGTCCACTCTTTACAATCCCCATTCGCTCAATCAGAAAGCCACCGGTGATCGTCACCACACAAGCTGCAATTGCATGTTTACAAAAACTAGCTGCACTATGACAATTATATGCGTCTACGTACGTTAGTGACGAAAACTTATGTAATATTTAACAATCAGTTTATTATTATTTTATATTTTCGGTATATTCTTTAATAATTTCAAAACAATAATGAACAAAACCTGTTTGTACCCAATAACATTCTATGTATGCAAGATTATATACAGGATGTGTCGCGCATCGCGTGAAGAATGCTCAAGCACTAGTATATATAAAATAACCAGAGAGTATAAAAAAATAATGATTTGTTAGTGATCAAAACAAAGAGAAATATGTACACTATTTTAGTGACCATATTGATTTAATACACCCGTACATAAAACATTTTGATTTTTTAGATGACAACCATACATATAACTTTAATGTGATCGGTAACTTTTGATTTAAGAGAATGATTAACAACTATGTGGTTTATAATTTCATTGAACAAGTTTTAACACTCATGGTTCTATTATATCTCTATTATAACAAATGTATAGTTCAGAAAGAAAATAAATGTATATAATTAAAAAAGAAATGAATAAATTATGAGGGAGAAAAGAAAAGAAAAGAAAAATTACAAGGAGTATAAAAATTACGAGGGAGAAACCGAAAGCCACCCCCAAAATTAATATATACATACATATATATAGATATACATACCGAGCAAAATACAAAGCCAACATTCTTCTAAAGTTTACTACCCACCTGAGAAGAGTCAAGACTCACTCTGGCGAAATACTCCTCCTGAATCCTTGTCGAATTGAACGAAACCCACATGCGTAGCCAAGATTTCACCAAACGTCAATCAACTTCATCAGTATGTACAACGTCAAAACAATTATCAATTTCCGACATTCCCAAAAATTGGAGAATTCAACGCCGGGAAACTCAACTGATCTCCCAAGTTTCCGCAATCATCTTACAACGACAAACAAAATACTGGGCATCCCTTCTCAAAACCACTCTCCAATTCTCCTCATTAAGCCCTTTTCAATTCCTCCAAAACTTGTATAACACCAAAGCCTCCCCGAGAATCTCCCCGGAGTTGTACAATTGGGCGAGGAAGAATCTGCATTTTGAACCCGACCTTAAGAGCCAGTGTAAGCTGACCCATTTGCTATACGGTCCTGGACTGCCCAAGCATACCCGTCGGATCAAGTGGTGAGTCGTTTGTCTAAAGTTGCTAACTTTGAAACTTGCTCCTCCTTTTTATGTTCTGTTCTTAAGGGATATTGTAAAAATTGTTTGTATTTGGAAGCTTTGAGAGTTTATCTTGAAGGTAAAGAATTTAGGAATGGTGCAATATCTGTGCATGGATGTAATTCATTATTGCATTCTCATCTGGGACCCAGAGTACCCATGGAAAGATCACACCTTGATAATGATGATGCATATCGTGCACCTCCTCGAGGCATGGATTATTCTCGTGGAGGTCGTTACCTAGACGGTTATCAGGGCTCACGACAATCTCCTCAACCTCGACACACCGAGTGGCGGCCCCCAAGAAGAACCTTACGTCTCTCGATGTCTATAGCAATTAGAACATGTCCGTTCAAGAATCAATGAGAAGAATGATAGGGTTCATTGTTAACAAAAGTCCATTCATACCTAGGATTCGTGACTGTCCAAAACCTCGGGATTTTGACTTCCCCAAGGATTTCGTGAAGTACTCGAGAGACTCCGACCCGCAACAATTCCTGCATGGATACATCCAAGTCATGAGAATCTGAAATATATCACTCGATTTTATGGCTAAAGCCCTTCCATCCTATCTCGCTGGACAGGCACAAAGGTGGTTTGGGCAGTTGTCGAAAGCAAGTATCACTAGCTTTGAGGACATATCAGTCAAGTTGGCCACTTGCTTCTTTCCAGCAAGTAGATCACAAGAATGTCAACCGACCTTTCCTCGATTAAACAAGGACAAAACGAGAGACTTTCTGATTTCCACCATCGTTTCACCCGAGAATGGATTCATTCAGGGTCTTAACCCATTCGGGAAATCTGTTACTTTGAGGGTGAAATTGTCTGCCAAACTCCTCAAAATACGCAAGAGATGTGGGCCACAGTGGAAAGTTACATCCACCGAGAGCATACACTTAAACGCTCACAAGAATCCTTCTCGATAGCAGGAGATCGAGGCGGAAGGGACAGGCTCAAGTCTACAATAGAAGACAAGCCGAATCTGCCTAAGCTCGACAGACAATTGACTCCACTATTGAAGCTCCGACTAGAAATCCTCCAAATTCACAAGGACGAGCTCCCTATTCTAAATCCCCTGGCTCCCAATCCTAACAGGTCCATGGATCAGTACTGCGAGTGTCCTAAGGATCACGACCACGACACTAAAGATTGTAGGGAGTTGAAATGACAAATCAAGGCCGGAGTAAAGTATGGGAAATTCCAACAGTATATACAAAATGCTTCTCATCAAAAGGGAGGAAATTTCGTGGGACCCCGTAACTTTCCTAAGAGGAACTCCCGAGGCCCTCGAGTGGATAACCGGGGAAATAACTTGACACCAAGGAACAGCGCGCAGTAATCTGCTCAGCAGCTTCTCGACGGTGAACCTCAACCACTCCAACATGTCCCTCCACCTGATCCTGACAAGCAGATTACTTACAATGGGGGGCAATCGATAGTGTATCACTCGAAGTTCTTTCTACAATAGCTATGAAGGCATCAGATCGAGAGGTAACTAAAAAGCCTCCACAAGAGCCCAGCCATAAACGGTTCAAGGGAACTGAGACAATAGTCTTTACCGGGTGACGTAGTCCCAGTTATCTATCTACACAACGACGCCATGGTTATTGAAGCCATTATAGGAAATGTTCACGTGAGGCGCGTGTACGTCAATAACGGCAATGTAGTCGACATCATCTATAGCGACTGTTTAAAGAAGATGAACATACAAAACCCTGATTGGCGTCCAGCAACATTACCATTAACAGGCTTCTCTGGGCACACGATTATCCCCAGCGGAATCTTAAGGCTTCCAATCACGGTAGGGTCACATCCTCGAATGGTAACCTTAACCATGGATTTCGCCATAATTGATGCGCCCTCACCGTTTAACGTGATTTTAGGACGGCCGTGGATGTGCCAAGCCCGCGCTGATTGTACTCCTTACCACTTTGGATAGGGATTGTGCAAGGGTGCCAACGCCGTTCTCGAGAATGCTTCTTAGGGCACTCAAAATAGGGAAAAAGGCAGTTAAATCTGGAGTTACCTCCTCCGCATTGGGATGTTACTCAGTTCAACAAGGAGTTTTATTAGTCGAGTCCAAGAAACAAAAACAACCCATGCATCTCGACCATCATCATCGACCGCCACTCAGTAGCAAAACAGAGGAGCTAGTCTTGGATGAAAAGGAGCCGGAAAAGACGATCCAACTTGGAGTATCTATAGACGGAATGTTGCAGGTCGAGGTAATTGTCTTGCTGCGTGAGTTTTGAGATATCTTTGCCTGGGCACCATCTTATATGACCAGAGTTCCTCGGGAAATCATCGAGCACAAGCTAAATGTGGATCCCAACGTCAAACCAGTACAACAGAAAAAGAGAATCTTTTCTCAAGACTGCAATGATGTTATCAATGAGGAAACACTAAAGTTAGTTCATGCCTACATTCTTCGAGCAGTTCTTTAGCCCACGTGGTTAGCCAATCAAGTTCTCATCCAAATGCCAGATAACTCCTGGCGCATGTGCCAAGATTAGACCGACCTCAACAAGCATTGTCCCAAGGACTGCTACCCTCTACCGATCATTGATCAAATGGTTGAGGGAATCACCGGGTTTAGAACTCTCAGCTTCCTCGATGCCTACAAGGAATATCATCAGATCCTTATGCTCAAGAAGATGCTGAAAAAACGGCTTACATCACCGAAATTGGAGTCTAATGCTACGACAAAATGCTATTTGGATTGAAGAATACTGGAGCCCAACTTATCAGCGGTTGGTTAACAGGACCCTCCACAAACAAATTGGACGTAATATAGAGATCTATGTGGATGATATGGTCATCAAGAGTAATCTCGACTACAAGATAGTAGAGGACATGTGGGTAGTCTTCACTATTCTCCGCCAAATCAATATGAAACTGAATCCAAAGAAATGTACCCTCTGTGTTGGGTTTGGGAAGTTCCTCGGCTTTCAGGTCTCCAAAGACAGCATAAGTGTGGATCCCACTAAAGTCGAGGAAATACTCTCTATGGTAGCCGCAAAGATGGTTAAAGAGGTCCAGAAACTAACCGGTTCTCTCGCGGCTTTAAACAGATTCCTTTCTCGAGCAGCCGAAAGAAGCCTTCCCTTTTTCAAGACACTGAGAAAAGAGAGATAATTCGAGTGGAATGTAGAGTGCCAACAAGCCTTTCAAGACCTAAAGGAACACCTCAAACAGCTTCCCATGCTAGCAAAGCCTGAGTCGGGGGAAGTTCTGTATATTTACTTAGCCACTCGAGAAACGGCCATATCCGCGGTCCTAATACCAAAAAAAAAGACGAGAAAGAAATCCCAGTTTACTTTGTAAGCAAAATTTTACAAGGAGCAGAATCTCGGTATACCCCTATGGAAAAGGTGATACTGAGTCTAGTGCTAGCCGCTCGACGACTACGTCCATACTTCCAGGCTCATCTAATCCAAGTCCTGAATAAGCAATCGATTCGAAAATTCCTTTTAAGCTTGAAGCCTCTGGTAGAATGATTAAGTGGGCAATCAAGTTGGGGAAACATCATATCGAGAATAAGCCTCAGACAGCTATAAAGGGGCAGGCACTTGCAGACTTCCTTGTCGAAATCCCTCGTACATCAAATGCCATACCCGAACAATCTTCAAAGAAGCAAGTACAAAAGCATGCCACCATGGATCCTCGAGCCAGGACACTTTACGTTGACGGATCATCTTGTGAGGAAGGGGGAGGAGCTGGCATCATTCTAGCCAAACCAACTGCACCCCAGGAAATTGAGGAGGTAAAGGAATACGAGGCAGAATACTCTTATGCCTTGCGGTATGTTTTCCCTGTCACCAATAATATAGCCGAATACGAAGCAATGATCACGGGGTTAAATATGGCTCTAAGACTGGGAGTCCGTAATTTAGAAGTTTTCAGCGACTCTCGGGTGGTCGTCAAGCAAATCAATGGCGACTATACTGTCCGCGAGGAGCATCTAAGGCCATATCTCGAGAAAGTCCTCGAAATCAGGGATAAGTTTGACAAGTGTTCCATATCCCACATCTTCAGAATTAGCAACAAGAGAGCCGATGCCTTAAGCAAGCTAGCTTCATCCAATTTTGCACATCTCAGCCATAAGGTTTGGGTCAAGATACTCCCCAAACCTAGCATCCAGTCTTGAGTATCACTTACGATCACTAAGGATGGAGATACATGGATGACACCATTTATCTAGTTTCTCGAGAACGGGACTCTCCCTAGCAATAAGTCTACAGCTCGAGCATTAAAGTTAAAAACGGTCAAGTATACCATGAAGGACGGAATCCTCTACAAGCATGGGTACCTACTACCAATGTTGCAGTGCATCGGCCCAAGATAGGTGGCCTATGTACTTGAGGAAGTTCATGAAGGATCATGTGGTGCTCACATGGGAGCACGAGAATTGGCCAAAAAGGTCCTTCGAGCAGGTTACTTTTGGCTTACAGTTTTCAAGGACGCCTATCAATTTGTGCAAAAGTGCGATAGACATCAGCGATTCTCTCCCATCACTCGACAGCCACAACATGAGATGGTAAATATCCAAAGCCCTTGGCCCTTCTACAAATGGGTCACTGACATAAACAAAAGGGCAGGAGGGCTACGATGGGTTATCGTGGCAATCGACTATTTTACTAAGTGGGTAGAAGCAAAACCGTTGGCCTCAATATCTGGAAGAAGGTGTTGAATTTTTTTGGCAAAACAAGGTTTCCCGCTTTGGAGTGCCCAAGGTAATCATGTCGAATAATGGGACTCAGTTTGAGAGTGATCCTTTCAAATCGCAGTGTGCTGAAACGTAAATTGAGCTCCGATTTTCTGCTGTTGCTCATCCACAAGCAAACGGCCAAGCTGAATCCATCAACAAAACTATCTTGCATGGAATCAAGACCAGGTTGCAAAATTCCAAGGGGGCATGGGTTGACAAACTTTCATATGTCCTATGGGCCTATCGCACTATAGCTC